GGCGCATTATATTGATACAAAATCACCAAACAGGAACTTTAAAGGCAGGTAATCAAGTTAAAAAAACATATGTGTGTTAGTGAAAAAGTAAGAGTGTATGCAAAAAACTTGCTAAAGTCTGAAGACAGTGTTTATTTATTTAACTAAGACATTTATTCATATGTTATTAAAAAAACACTTGACAAACTTGCGAATAAGGGCGCTTTAATTCCCTTAAATTATCTGACTGCATCAGTTTTAGAAACAACTAAAAAAGACTTCAGGAATATAGTTCTATAGCACAATGATAATTAAAAATAATATACTGTTACTGAACAATTAAAAATATGCTTTTTATTCAATGAACTTATACTGGACAATGAACTTATACTGGACGAAACTTTTGTTTATAATTTTAGCTGTCAAAAATTTGCATTTTGCCTTAAAAGCAACAATTGACAGCTAAAATTACAAACATGACAGTTAAAATTACAAACAAAGCTCTCGTGTAAATCCAGTATTAGGGTATTATACGGAAGGAATCTCAATTATGCATTCTCATATCATAATTGCAGCTGCATTCAGTAATACGAAGCATCAAAATCAAAATCAAGATCAGAATTTGGCAATATTACAAAAGCACAAAAGAGAAAAATAAAAGAGTAAAAACATAAGGATTTGTCTTCTTTTCTTGTGCTAGTGTGCTTTCAGAGAGTTTGAAAACAACAAACACATATACAACAGTAACAACTTAAGATGGTTGAGCAGTTAATGAACATTACCTCGCGTATTGTTTTCACACGACACAAACAATCTAAATTACTAAAAATATGTTCACACGATAAATCTTAATTTTGTTTCCTTAGTTGCGGTCGCAAATGAAAATGTCGATCGTTGCAGCAGTATTATATATTAATTCACAAAAAAAAATTTTCATTCATGATGTGTAATTGCATTATCGCTACATAATTCGATTATTGTAAATCACAAAATTAATTTTAATATAGTTTTGTATAAATAAAAATTATATTAAAATAAAGTTGGTTGTCGAATTTTATAAGGATATCAGATTTCAATTTTAAGTTGATTTTATAAACAAACCATCTAATCGAGCCGAACGTGTACAATCAAGAATAAACTTAAGATTCTTTGGGCCGTATGAATAGTTATTAGTCGCATACTAAGATTCCAAATTCTTATTATGTTTGTATTAATGTATGTATGTATATTTATTTTCATTTTAAATTTCATTTTTACAGTGTGATTAGTGAATCGTAAATTAATATATAAATAAATATAATTAAAATAGCGACTGTGACACAACGTCGTCCATCGATTTTAATTCTTATTAATACAATTAAGCAAAGAAAAATCTTTTTCGGTATTTTAAAATTATATATCTGGACATCGAGTGATTATAAAAGTAATTAATATAGTAGAATTGGGAACTTATTCTACATATACTGAATGAATGCATCAGTTTTCGGCACTTAAAGGATTAAACCAAAGAAAAAAATTGTTAGTGTTTTATTTTTTTTTATATAGTTATTTTTTATATGTATGTCGCGTATGTCTAGAAGTTTATTTCGCTTATTCATCAGGGCGGAGTATTATCACAACTGATTATGAAATAATATAAGAAGTTTTTTCCACTGAAACAGCAATCTGTTCACAGATTTAGTTGTAATTTCGCTCATAACTTAGTGATTTAATAGAACATTGAATAATATGATGTCGAAGATTTTATATGGATTAATGAATCAATAACTATGAAACTAGCCACAATAAACTATCTAAATAGCAACTAGCTAAATAAATCGTATAAATAATAGACACATTTTAAAAAAGGTAAATTATGTGTTGACGTTTATTTTTGAAATAATAATTATAATAAACATGTTATATATACACCAAGGATGATTTCATGTTCATAACGCATAATATATAAATCCAAACACCTATGATATATTAAAAGGTTTTTATAATTTAATTATTGAAAATTGTTTTATAACGAAGAACTCTTAAAATCTTGACACACTACACAATATCTAGTATGAAAGTTCTAAAGACTGAGGGTAAAAAATTTGTTTTAAATGGTTAAGATTATCGATAAAACTCTCGAAGTTATATTTATTGTTTTATTTATTATTTTTTTAATACAATATCATAATGTTAATCTAAACAGATCATGAAAAACTTTTGCAACAAGATATTTTTTACCAAAATAACTTTATTAGAACTATGTGTGTGTTTCAAAGGAAGACTTTCCAAATCGGTTCAGGAGTCGAGGCGTGAACGTAAAAGCATATGGCATGGATAACCAATTTATAAGGGATCCTCCTCGGTCCCAGGGGGAAAAATTCCGAAGATGAAGACGAAGTATTTTAGTTCATACAGTAGGAGTCAAACATATCATTCCGGCCATCTATATCTAATTTCGAGCATTCAGTTAGCTTTAATTGAAGACCATAACGGCATTTCAACTTTTAAAAACTTAATGGAAAACTATTTGTTAGGCCTGAGTCTAAAGTTGCTAACATTGATACCAAATCGTGATAAACATAATTAATTTTATATTGGAAATATGGAATTGAATAGGAACCAAACAATTCGTCATATTGTCTAAAAAATTCAAGATTCTTATTATGCTATTATAATGTTCAAATTAAAACAAACAATTATATAATAAGTAGTTTATAATAAAAGATTTTTAAATTGGTGTCTTTATCGAATTACACTATAAGATTAAACTATAAACCACAATTATTGCTAATAGTCTATTTTTAATTTTTTTTTATCCCACGCGCCTAAACATATTTTTAATGTGAGTCGCATATATTTCTGAAAATTTTTTTTATATTATTTAATAGCTTTAGCATTAAAATTTGTTATCAAATATTTCAAAAAAAAAACTTTAATCTGAGCCTACTCTATATATCCAACTTAAAATATAAAGTGAACTATTTGTAAATTATTTCTATATTTTTTCTAAGAATATATCGCTCTCTTCCAAGAATAATTTTTAAATATTCCTTAAAAATTCTTAATGTTAATATGCCTCGAAAAAATAGTATAAAAGGATGAGATTATTTAATTACACTAGTTAACAAAATATAAAAAAATATATATAAACGAAAATCACATTAAAAAAATTTTTTGTAGATAGGTTTTTGAAATATGAAGTTCTGATTTTTTTTGTTTTAGAAGTAGTTTCACATTTTGAGGCATATTCCGAGTTAGAACCGTACGATTGGATCAACCGAAATATCAAAGTCGAGTTAATCATTGTTTGTCAATAAATTATAATTATTATTATATCAATTATATACTATCAAAAAATGAAGTTATACAGGAAAAACTGTGAAAAAAAATATAATAATGTAAGCAAAGGTTGAGGCCTAAGTGCTAAGCCCGCTTTATTCCTTTGCGACTTTTCCAATTTATGAATCAAATTTCCTTACCGGTGTTTCGAAAAGTCTGCACAATACCATTTTACGATAGCTACTATCTCTATGTCTAAATTCTACTATTGTTCTCTACAAAATAATTTCACCAGTAAAGTTTGTTTCGTATCGAAATGGATACTTTCTTTATTCTTATAAAAAATAGAGTTTTAATTCTAATATTAGCGAATTGATGAAGTAGTGCGAACTTTTTGAGCAATCTAATAATAGTAGTGTATTACTGTGTCTGCGTCATCATGGGGCTCTTCATCTTTTTAGCCGATTAGATGCAGTACAAAACTTTCAACAACGATAAAAACACACCTGTGCTTGAAAAAATAAAACGTATTCTAAAGAATATAAACATATTTAAAAAAAATCAGTTTTTGAAGAAAAAAATCAACAGAAACCACAAAACAGAAAATGTAGAGACTGCATTAACAAATGAAATGGAATAAATGGAAATAGAATAATGTTTTAGCGAGTTCCATTGTAATCCTATTAGCACCAAAGAAGCTGAACGTCCAGTACGCACAAATGAAGGTTCTGAAGTAAAAACTTTGGATATAGTGATCCAAATAAAAATCGAAGATCTCTAGGAAATTTTTTAATTTTTAAGAGCATGAGCTTAAAAAAAATTTGTCACAAAGATGGGTGTCGCTCGTGATCAAGAACGTAGAGATGTAAACACTCTCACGTACTGTTTGTAAATGTTTTATAGTAAACCAAAAGTTTTCTCCTCATTTTATAATTTTATTTAAGACGTGGATACACCACTAAATTTTGGAAATCAATGATCAGTCGAGTTAAAGGATTTTTAGTAATTGATTTGATCCAAAAAAGGCGAAAAGTGAAAAAAATAATGGCTTCTACTTTTTGCGATACCTATAGTATAATTAACATATTGACTTGCAACTTCAAAGTCTTAATCAATAAGCAGATAATATTATGTGAGGCTTTTAAACTATTTGAATGGTGAAAGTAAAAGAATTACAAAAAAATGTTTGCCACGACAATGCAATCAATGAATTTAATTAAATTCGGATGTAATCTTTGCAGTTTATGAATATTTTGATGACGTCAAATAATCTTATTTTCCAGAAAGTATAAAAAAACGCTTTAGTTAATATAAAGTTAAGATTCAACGGCATTAAAAAATTAATTTATATGTAAATAAGAACTTAAATCTTACTTTTATTTATCAAAGGTTTCTCAAACAGCCCTCGTAAAATAATCAAAATAAATAAAACAATTTCGTTCGAGTTAATTTATATAAATTTTTTAGAATTTTACGATTGCTCTCATATGTTTTGTATTATTTTATGATCAAATTATTGCATAAATAAAAAATCAAGTCACCAAAACAGAATAGGTTTTTATTTATTTATTGTCTTTAACATATCCAGACTTGATTTGGTAAAAGCTATAAAAAAAGAAATCTGAGTCTTACTACTGAGATTATTATTTAAATTCTCTAAAACTGTTAATTATCAATATTTTAGTTTTAACCATAATTTAATTGCTTAATATAAATAATGAAAATCTGTTATTTACTTTTAAACTGAGCGGGCCACCTACCTTTAATCAACTAAACAGACAAAACTGCACCCAAGACCAATTATGGTAAAATATTGGACGTTGTCGCTTCGACATATTTTTGCAGCATGTTTTTAATAATTTATATAGAAATAATTCAAAATTTAATTGAAAATTATTCTTTTTTTTTTATTTACATGAGTTACACTTTATATTTAGGACAATATTACAAATATTCAATGCACAACGCAAGCCTCACACTTTTTCAATGCAAACTTGGAAACCATGAAATTGAACCATTTACGGTTCGCATTAATAATGTATTTTACTTGTCATTATTTAGTTAGCGATTCAATCCAAATTTCTGTATTATTATTTATTGAATTTAAATTTTTCACAAACGGCTTTAAACAAATCTTCGCAAACTATGCTCAACAATTTCAAGGCCGCTGCAGTTCTACAAGTAACTGACATTTAAATAGGGTTACCAAGCGCATATTTAATTCACAATGTCAATTGCATTAAATGCATACGTCACTTAATAGATTGGAAATAAATTAGACATACAATACATTGTTGAGATCGTATTGAAAAAATGTCCACAGTATTTTTTGCTTAATTAATATTAAAACTGTTTTCATAAAAACAAATTTAATAAAATATAACTTTCGCACATGCCTGGTTTTCAACAAAATTTTTCTAAAGTTTAGTTATTTTTAAAATCGTATGCCTTATCTTAAATTTAATATTTCATTGGTATGTAATTTTTCTTTACACATATCTATCCTTAGTTTTTAACATATGCTATACATTCAACTGTTTGTTATGAGTGCATCCAAGCTATTTGGATATAATATAATCTCTACTAAAAAATATAATAACATATGTATATATATATAAATATATATGTGATATAATGATTATCATAAAATGATTATATTTCTTATATGTTCACAAATATACATTTTATATTTATGTACACATAAAAGAATACGCAAAAGAATTAATTATACGACTTGGCATTTTTAGTGCTGATCGTTCCTCTCCTTGCAATTTAATAATTCATATATATACCTATGCTAAATACGAAATTATTTTGAAAAATATAAATTATACAAATTTTTATAACTGATTAATATTAATCATAAAGTTAGACTTGTATATACATAATCAGTGCAAATCAATTAGTTTTATTACATCGTTAGTAAATATCATATGAAGTAATATAAATTTCTGATATAGAATACAGAAATATGCTTTGGACATATAAAATTATAAATACAATCTTGATGTTCGCTTTGCTATATGCCTTCAGGTATGCAAAATTAAGTTTGTTTTAATTTATTTATTTAATTTAAAATTTATTTAGTTTTGTAATATATTATTATATATTAACATACTATATAATATTAACATATTATATTATTTACAATAAAATTATTTAATTTATACAAACAAAGAATGGGTTTTGCGTTTTTTTTTATTTCGTTTTCATTTACCCACCATTTTATTTGTTAAAACATCAATACAATTCAGAAAAATGACTTGTGTACATATGTTGTTAAATAACGTGATGTTATGACAATAGTATTAAAAATTTTAAATAATTATGTTATAACTTGAAGTCAGCAACAACGATTGTGAAAAAAAATTTTTTAGGTCTAGTATAAAAAATATTTCGTTTTACACAATATATATTTTACGTAAATTTAACTTAAGTAGGAAAGTGCTACATCTAATACACGGTAGTGAGATGGCAGCCCACAAATGCCTGATCAAATGTCAAAGCGTCACCGCATATCTACACAGAAAAAAATTACTTGAAATATATTTATGTTTTGATGCACCGTACTCTGCTAACAATGACTGACTTACAGGATTTAATATATTTTACTTAATAATTTGAATTTTATTATTAATTTTATTAAAAAATGTAAAAAATTAATGTATATAACAATAAAAACATATGTGAATATATAAGTTGATATATAAAAATATAGTCAAAAGTCTAAAAATTCCTTGATATATGATACTTAAATGTACTCGTAGTATATGATTTTTGAAGTATTCAATATCGGCATTTGTTACACAGATTTTAGTTTATGTTATTTGTAATAAAAAAATATTATTAAAAAAATAATAATAATTATTATTATTAAAAAAATTATATATATCATTTTTAATAAAAACAATGGAAAATACAGTCAAACTTCCATAACTCGTACTTCCATAACTCGAATTTTCAATAACTCAAACTGAACAGAGTGCAACAAGGCTTAGAGAGCAAATTACAATTAAAACAAAGTTCTTTAACTTGAAGTCTCCATGAGTTGAACCTTTTCTTTGGTATATGGTACTTCGAGGTATGGAAGTTTGACTGTATTTTTTT